GCTCTTGAGAGAAAGATGGGCAATCTCCTCCTGTACAAATTACAGCCTTAGAAAACCCGCTGGAGGGTCAGCTATGAGTGGGTGCCAACTCAAAAGCAATGAGATAAGATAAATAATACATTTAAATCACAGCTACTTTTTAAAAGGAATTGTATTATGCTTAAATGAGGTCTGACACAAAAGGGAGAAAAATATTTTTAAGTCATACTATTAAAATGCAAAATAATGTATTACAGAAGGTAATCACTACAAAATACAACTGCACTCTGCAACAAAGCAATGGCAGGGTTAAGGTGGAGGTGTAACACTCCAATGTTGAAATTCCAAGTCAAATTTTAAAAACACACAAGTTAGCTTGGAACATAGTTCACTCCCTGAGAATACGATGATCATACAGAGATAATCAACAAGTAAAAATATATACCTAAAATACTGCCTCCACTATGTGTATACATACTCTGTCACCAACAAACAAGAAATCTCAACAATATAATAGAATGAGCAGCACTGTACTTGTCAGTGTTTGACTTAACAAAACAGAATTTGTAGTCACAGCAAGTTACCCGAGAAAGAGAGAAGGTGACTCCAATTTACAATTGTTGAGTGGTTATGGGTAAGGAAACTCTTATTCCACCATAAATAAAAATCTGCAAGTTATGAATCTAAATTCATGATTTTTATTTAAGAAAGGAAGTTAGAATTACTCATAATATTTTTAAACACTCTGTTTCTACAATGTCTAACCAACAATTGTGGATAACATTGAGTATAAAAAGGATAAACGAAAAGCAATCCATTTAACAAGCTGGTTTCTTTAACACACAGGGACCTATTTCCGTACATATTTATAAGGCTTGGTGGTTTATTATTAGCCTGTAATTGCAGTTGTTCTAACACCTAATAAGCCATGGTTGGAAAAACAAAGGCAGGTTAATTTGTGATTTCCTCTCCTCATTCAGAGGCAAATTAAGTGTCACACAGCTAATATAAAACATATTTCATTTTATGAGATTTTAATTTAATTCTGCACCATATCATTGATGCCTTAATATAGGGTGGTTTATCTTAAAAGAGGAGCAATTTATAAACTTCTTTCAATAGAATCTTTAATGATAGGAGATGATAACATAATTATCACAGCGGCTGCCCTACTTCTACATGGAGATCCGTCAGCATCTCCATCAACAGCAATTCTTGCTTTTAAGAGACTTATTTAATTTTTAAAGTTGGCACAAGATGAACAATTGTGTGTATAAAATAATGAGAATATTACCCCAAATTTTGTCCTCTTATAATTAAAAAAGTTTACTAAAAAATGTTTATTAAAAACTTTGTAAGCTAACTTAAGCTCAGCTCTATCCATGAAATGAAAGACAATTATGTAACAGGCATTTCGGTAACCAAGTTCTAGATGAAGTCATTGTGCTTCTCCAGATTACTACTTTAGTCCTCAGCAAAGATGTGCTTTTAAAAGTTAAAATAAGATGTGCTCTCAAGTCATAATCTCCTAGATCACCCTTGACTTTCAAAATTATAACAGATCTCAATTTAGCAAGACACCACCTCAAAAGTCATAACAGCAGCTGATAGACTCACACATGACTTAAAAAAGTGAAAATATAAGGACTCAGTAATTTTTACACAACTACCCAGGATGCTAACACTCAGCATTTGTTGAGGGCTCTGTGATTTCATGAGAAAACAAAAAAATACACTCCTCATCAGATTCCAGCTCACAGAATCCACGTATTACAGAGTAGAATGGCCCCATAAAAATCACACAAGTTTCTTGACTGTAACCTTTATGGGAGCACAGCCAGGTCTTTTCTTTCACAGTGCTGTGACACATGGATTTGAACTGCCAATATTTCAGGCAGGAGCTGACAGCAAACTATTTACAATACTCAGTGACCATACATAACCATCATTTCATGGAACTCTTCCTGTGGGTTGGGGAACTGTATAGGCAGACACCTTCATTTCCAACACACAGCAAGTAGACGCTGCCAGAGTTCACAGCACTGTGACAGGCAAAGCAAGAACAAGTATTGAAGGTCTCCAACAGCTTGCTTGCTGTCTCCCAGAATGGATCAATGTGAACATCCACTTAGCACCACTGACAAAGGCCCTGCTCAACCAAGTCGGACCTTGAGCTACACAAAGCAATAAGGTAAAAAGGTGCAGACGTGGGCATCTAAGAACAGCATGTGGGACAGCCCTCTGAATGGTATTCACTGAGACGGAACGAACACCAGTAGGAGTCTGTCTTGCAATGATGGAAGGCTATACGAGGCAATATAGAAAGAATGCCACCAGGTAAAGGCACTTAAGGGTGTGCAATGCCACAGTCTCCCCAAACCAGGGCACAAGCTCTCTACCCACATCTCTAAGGTAGGTCCACAGCATTGCAAGCCTCACCCAGTTGTCACTCTGTACCCACAGCAAAGGCATTCTGCTTACAACTTTCTAATTTGAGGCCCAGTATTTTCTATGAAGAGTCTCTGGGTGGTGCAAACTGTTAACAGACTTGACCATTCACCAAAAGGCTGGAAGATCAATTCTACTCAGAAGCATTTTTGAAGAAAGACTTGGCAGTATGTTTCCAAAACTTCAGTCATAGAAAACCCTATGGAGCACTAATCTACTCTGACACATAAGACTGATGTGAATCAAGCTGACGCAAAGGCAGTGGTGTTTAACCGGCTACCAGATGCACTTTAGAAAACGTCAGTATCTGTATTTTAGGCTACTAGGGAACAATTTAGTCAACTTCTGATCAAGTGGCTTCAGTATGGCTAAAATCACAGAACATACTGAAGACCACAGAAAATCGGGTTCAATAGTCACCCTCAAAGAACAAACATCAAGAATCCATCTCTACCAGGAGTCTACATATGAAACTTCTGGTACGGTGTTTGCTAATGCTTTCTTCTGCCAGGGAATTAAGTGGTGTGCCAACAACTGAATAATTTAGTTGCCAACCAAAAGGTTGATTGTTCAAACCCATCAGCTGCTCCACATGAAGTTGTTTGTTCCCATAAAGATGTACAGTCTCAGAAACACTATGGGCCGTTCTGTTCTTTACCACATGGTCTCAAGGAGTCTAAAACAACTCAGTGGCAGTGAGTTTGGTGTCTGGAGTAAATATTTGCTATTTCTCAGAAGAAATACTTTATTCAGTCTGGCCTATAACTTCAGTTTAAAAAATTCCCTATAATGTGATTTTTTTTTTAATCTGACTTAAATTATAGTTTCACACAGGCTTGGGTCTGGGAAGAATTAGCCTCCATGTTCCAAAGGGAACTTGAGCCTTTATGTGCTCTCTACTGTGGAGCAGAATCTCATTTGGGCCCATGTGGTCGCATCTGAACTACAAGACTCTGCACAATGGGGTGAGCTACATGTCATGTTTCAGACTTAATTTGGAATTTCCTCTCCTTTGTATACAGAATTTTAAACTGGCCTCTTAGTTTTTATTTGAGAGTATTTTTAGCAAGCTTTAGAACTCAGTAAATACTTACTTGCATTCTAGTGAAATGTTGGAAGTATAAGTCACAAGTTTCTGTGTTCTGTCTCTATAAATACCCACTTTTCCCTTAATGCTTATGGGAGACTGTAGCACAGATTTATGACTTACCTCCAGGCAAATGTGCTCTGAAATTACAATTCTGTAATGGGAGATGGATCCAAAAAACTCTTGGTAAAATATTGTATGTGTACTTAGGCATGTAGTTCAGATTGTTAATATCAATTAATTCTGTTCACAGAGGAGGACTTGTTTTAAAACAACTTCATTTTTCTTTGGCATATATGTAATTACACAGCTGTAACTAATAGCTACAGAGATGCAATCCACCATCTAAATAATCAGCATTATTCTTCAAAGTATTATTGGTGCCTTTCTAACTCCACTGTCTCAGCATGAAGGGTGATTACTGAATATAACTAAATGTACATACATATCAATATATACCAAGGCCTTTTGCAAGGGGCAGCCCCACCTGGGCAGGGGCTCTGGTTTTCTGTGAATATGACTGTTTTCCGGAAAGGACTGCAAAAGAGCAGCCTTTGAATTTGCACGTTTACTATTAGTTTTTCCCTGTAAAACTGAGCAGAATAAGCGACTCGATGTCACATAACAACAACTACAACCATGGGAAACTTTTTTTCTTTTCTAATAGTATTATCATCAGCATTCTTCCCTCTATCTTTGTGGAAGCCATGCGCTCCACTACATCTGCCATTTTGCTAGAGTGACATTTTCATCAATCAAGTGGCTGTGGCAAATGCACCACAGGAGCTATAAAAATGTACAATAAAGTTTTCACCACAATTCATTATGATTCTTAAGATGGGACTTCATGCACCAGACTCTTTAGCATGAAAAACTGAATCTAATTGTGACCCAACGCACAGCCTGGAATAGTAGCCTTTCATTGTAGTTGTCATTGTTAGATGCCATCAAGTCAACTCCAACCTTCCAACAACCCTGTTAACATCATACCTGTATCATGCCATGTTCTAAGTCATCTTCACCATCTCTGATGTACCTGAGCCCACTGCTATACACACTGTTGTCAACCTGCTTCATTGATAGTATTCCTCTCTTTCGCTGATCTTCTTCTACCTTTCCAAGAATAATGTCTTTTTTCTAAGGATGTGCCCCACCTATGAACATACTCAAAGTGTGTGAGACAAAGTTTCACCACCTTTGCATCTATTAGGTCTCTGCTTTTTAACTTGGCATTTACATCCCATGGAACATATACCAGCCAGACACCTTGTTTAAAAGGCATTCCTGGTAAAACAGCAAGGGTTTGATTCAATGGATCCATAAAGAGACAAACTTTCAAAAGTAAATCTTCTGGCTAAATCCCATCTGAAATAGTCCAAAACATCTTAAATGTTGTTTTAAAAAAACAAATTTAAACAAAACCTTGTGCACACTGAAAGTTGGCATTCTGTTCCATTTCAGAGACAGGTAAAATTTCAATACTTACACGTGCAACGGAGGGATAGGAGATGGATCATAATGGTAACGCCCCTCATGATGTCTCGCATCAATTGGTACAGGTGGATGGAATGTAGGAAAAATATGAGGTGGGTCTGAAAAAGAAAACAATTCCAACCTACATAAAATGCAAACTTTGAAACAACACTGGAATCAAGGAAATAACATTATCTTTTCCATTTAAAATCAATCCTGTATTAGCTCTCCTATTTACATAGAATCATAGTTTAAGAATTTTCGAAGTGTTTAAAGTTCATCACGAGGCTACATGTAGCCCTACTAAGTTAATACTTCAGTTATGACTGAGTAAATACCTCTGTCTGAGATTGTAGAGCTGAGAAAGTTACTAAAATGCAAACAGAAAGAGGAATAAAAGTTCTCTGAACCAAAAGAAAGGTTGAAAAGTTGACTAGAGCTTCATTTTTACCATTTCCATGCAGCTTTTAATTAAAGGGATGAACGCATCCTTTCCAAAGAAGCCCTGCTAGCACAGTGGATTACACAGTGGTACGAAACCAAAGGTCAGTGATTCAAATCCACCAGGCACTCCACAAGACAAAGATAAAACAGTCTGTTCTTATTAAAATTTATAGCATTGACATTCTGATGGAGGGTCTCAGTGAGTGGGAATAACTCAACTGCAATAGGAGGGTTTTTGGGGGGAGTTTGTTTTTTTAAAAGTTCTCGCTGGAAGAAACCATAATAAATTCAAGTATAGGCCCACATAGGCAAAACGCATGCCCCTCCTACTTGGTAGCTCCTCTGGATTCAGCTCAACTCAACTCACTGCCATCAAGTCAGAAATTACTCATAGCAGACCTCCACTGAATTTCTGAGGCTGTAAAAATCACAGGAGGAGACTACCTATCTTTTCTGCTAAGATCAGCTGGTGGATTTGAACCATCAGAGAGAAGTGTTGTCTTTGGGTTAGCAGCACAACTCCCTATAGACTATGCTATTAGAACTCCCCTTTTTGCCTAGCATTCCTAATCAAAGCAGAGCAACAATTTATAGGTTAGTTAGTGAAATGTATAGCCTGAAGAGATGAGCTGACCACTGAGAATGGAGGACTAGAGTCACTTTAGTGATTCCTGTTTCTGGTCAGTCCTGGGGCTGGGTGCAACCTGGGGTCTTGAGTACATAAACTATTCTATGTACTCCCAGTGACAGGAACACATGCACTGATTGATGATTCATCCCTTACACACAAAAGTACCAAAAAATATATATAAAAGAAAAACTTTTTCAAATAGTGGTTCACTATAAATGCAAAAGGATTTTAAGAAATGTTACATTTTAGAGTTTGACAACATTCTGTAAGTGGTATTAAAGTTCTTCCTAGTTTAATAAACAAAATGAAGGAGTCTGAAACCTGGAGCACCAAAACCCATGGCCAGGAGACTGAAGTGACAGTCAGCACACTGAACACACATCACCTCCCATGGGATTTTTTAGAAGACTGCACAAATCTGCCATAACAATACCGCCAACACACTGTCAGAAGCTGACATGTACCCAGAACAGTCCTCACAAGAGAAGAAGTGATAGCTGCTAATTAAAAAGGTCAGTCAGTGGTTCAAATCCTCCAGCTGTTGCCCTGGAGAAAGATGAAACCGTTTGCTCTCATAAAGATTTATAGCCTTGGAAATCCCATGACACATTTCTTCTCCAGTAGAGATGAAGTAAGTTGGAATTGACTTGATGGTAACGTGGTTTGCTTCAGAATGACTTTTGGCTTATTTCTTAAAGATTTTATCCATATCTGGAGGATTTGTGGTTCTCAGTTGTCACTGAGTTGGCCCTTTACGCGTGGTGACCAGGAAACAATGTAATGAAAGTCTAGTATCATTCTTGCTGGGGATCAGACCATGTGATTCTCATGAACCAATTTTTGAAAGGTCAATTTCCAGGTCTTTCTTCCTGGTCCATCTTAGTCGAACTAAGCTGTAAACTCTGTTCAGTATCACAGCACAAGCCCCCCTTACAAATTCCTGGCTTAAAATATGTTACTTGATTCTGCTCTGAGAAATTGTAGAAACAAAATTCCTACAACTGTATGTCAATTAAGCATTCATAAAGTTTGACCCACTTCCTAAAGTTCTCTGCCACTCAATATTTTCTATATAGTCATTTTGAGGGATGCTGACATCTTTCCTTCTTGGCTCTGGACTATGTTTGGTATGATGAAGCTCTCTGCATCAAGTAGGGCTTAAGTGTATCTGGGTGCAATTATGAATTATGAATTATGACCAAGTACAAATGCAGATTTTGTAGAATAAAGGGCTCAAAATGTGAGAACGTATTCTACATTCATAACATGCCTTATATACAGGAGAAGCAAGTCATTATCTTTCATTGGCATCTTCATAATGAAGTTGCAGTGGTTTACGTGCACAGAAGTAGGATCGAAAGTTAATCACAAGAATATACAACCACAAAGTATAAAGGCTTTTCCCCAAGGAAGAGACTAATCCTTCCTATTCAGATGTTTATTGAAAGGTGGGTGGTTTGAAGCTCTCAGTTCAAACTATTTGGTTATGGAGGAAGAATGTGTAGCAATCTGCATCCATAAAGACTTCAGCCTTGAGAACTCTATGGGGTAATTTTAGTCTGTCCTATAGTCTCACTGTAAGATGGGAATGACTTGACAACAATGGGTTTAGTTTACCTGTTTTGTTTTGCTTTCTTCTCTGGCCATTGTTGTTGTTGTTGTTGTGAAGTGCCATAGAATCATAGCAACCCTATGAAGGAGAGTCCTCAATGCTTGGGTGCCTTTCATCCTCTCTCCAGGTTCATAGGGTTTCCAGAGGCAAGCTATTATGGAAGTGGATGCCACTCCTCCTTCCAAGCTTGTTTTATTCGGGGAGCTCTACCCCACTCTGTCCGCATTGGGTAGCCAACCATTAATGCATTTGACCTATCAGTGTCACAGTTCTCTAGCCATTACTTCAAAAAATTATTCCAACAGGACTTTGATAGGTCTGCATCCTCTCTTTCTCTCCCTCTTATTTTTTTCAGAATGAAAGCAAAAAATGATCAAGTCTTGTAAAGATATTTAAGAGGACTGACTATATACAATATAGTCAATATAGGATATTTCGTAGTAATTTCTTAACAATGTTGAATTTATAGATTTTTTTGGGAACTTACACAAACTTAAAATATAGTAAGCATTTTGAAGCATTTTTTACACAAAATGTTTATTTTTGCCCCATGTGATTTGCCCAAAAAAACATCCAGATTGAGTTTCAGTATTATACGGTTTCTATTTGCTTCCCTCTTGGTTTAGTTTAAAGCACCTTCTTCTGGACTTACCAGGTCTGTGCAAACAACTATACCTGCTGTTGGCTATTAGGGGAATCACATTTTTAAAGTCACTATTAGGGAAAATTGCAATTTTTTCTCTTGCAATTCAGTGCACAATTGAGCATATCTTTTTTTAATGTTTATTTTATATTGGTTTGCTTACAAAGTTCATATGCATTGTTTCACACTTTTCTTCATTCACATTATGTTTCATATAATCATTCTCATTCATTATGCTCTATAAAATTAGCCACCATAGTGGGTTCTTCCCATTTCTTTTACTCCTCCCTCTACCCACCAAATTATATAACCCTGTGATTTCACCCCTACTTGTCCTTACTCCTTTGCCCCCACCCCTTCCCTTTTGATTCTCATACATGTTTTACTAGTTATCCTTATATTTTTACAATAATGGCATTATGCAGTATTTTAAGAATATGAAGGAAGAATAAGAAACAGTATGGGCATATCCTTTAACAGATGCAGAATCATATGACATCAATCCTAACATATTTCTCAAAAAAAAAAAAGGGAAAAGTTCTCCTGATTCTTCCCCTTGCCTCTCATCTTGGCTTGCCATTTATCTCAGGAGGATCAGCAGCATATTCCATCACAGGCCCAGGAAGCTGTCCAAAAGGACCACAAGACAAGAACAGCCCATGTCGTCAGCAGCCACCATAATTATCCACCTCCTGCTTTATTATTTGCACATGAGCAGCACAGCTGCGGAGCATCATAACTCAAGGATACGTGTAATAACTTAGCGCACCGCAGCCATCTCCTGCTCTGGTCCTTGACAAAATACCACTTGATGACTTTTCCAAAGTCAGGCTAAAACTGCTGAAGCAGAAGGAAGTGCCACTAAACCTAGCTACCTCCTATTTATCATACAATTTCCTGACTGATGGTTCCACAAACCAGCTGCTAAATGCTGTGTACTCTACTGTCAGCAAACTAACGAGCTAAATGGAAGACAGGGAGAATAATGTGCAGAACTGGTGGAATCAATTTTACTGAGGGAATTAAAACTCTACCAGGTGGGGTGAGTTGTGGAGCGGTGGTAAGCAGTCAACTGTACCTGCTTATGGCTGCAAAGATGATTTATTACCGCCTTGTAGGAGGTTTGACTATTGTGCCAAATTCCTCTTACACAAAACAGAGACTTAAAGAGGGATTAATATCTAAGGCCGGAACGAAACAGTCCTTAAACCCCATAAATATGCAACTGGATGACAAAAGTTTAAGTTGAAATGCACAGTAAAAATATTTGTAGGCCGGAACGAAACAGTCCTTAAACCCCATAAATATGTAACTGGATGACAAAAGTTTAAGTTGAAATGCACAGTAAAAATATTTGTGCTGCATATACTGTTGTTGTTGAGTCAATCACGACTCATAGTGACCCTATAGACAAAAGGTCTGAAGCCTTTCTATAACTATCATTTATCAAAGTTCCTAGAGTTTCCAGAGGCATATTGTTTAGGAAGTGGATGCCACTCCTGCTTCCAAATAACTTTTCCAAAGCAGAGTTAAATACCATTTTGCAAACAATATGCTCACTTATTTACCCACTCACTGCCATAGAGTCGGTTCTGGCTTGTGGCTGACACTCCAGTGGGATTCTATGGTTATAAACTGCAAGTGAGGAGATTGCCCATCTGCCTCCTGAGGAGGCGCTGGTAGATGTGAACAGCCATAGCCGTGTGGCCTTTGCGTTAGTAGCACAACTCCATAGTTGTCAATATTCAATTTCCCAGTTGCTGTCATCATGCTGGACATCACAGGTCTC